ATATATATCAAAAACACAAATAAAATGAAGTGAAAGGCAGCAGAGAGAAGAAAAAAAATCTTATCTGCCCCTTTTGTCTCAAGAATAAGTTCATATAACAAAAAAAACAATCTATGTTATTAGCAAAACAAAAGACAAGAACATCCAATCCCTCTAGAACAACAATCTATATAGATACACACTATACTGTTTTGAACAGGAATGTACTGGGAATTTGTTTCTGTTAAAATGTTTTCAATTATAAAACGCAATAAGAGATTGTTGCCAGTAAAATTGTCAAAAAGCTAAACTCAAATGCTTGTCAATACATATTGATGTCCATTTACAAAAGCAAAAATGATTTCAAATTAAGATCAAATATGTACTGTAAATAAAGTGGAATAGATAATGTTGATATATATCTGACACATGTTTGACTTACAGGGYGGAGCCTTCTTCTTCATAGAGCACGTGGTTGCAGACCCCTCGACGTGGACGTACTTCTTCCAGCATGTCCTTCAGCCTGCGTGGGACTACTTGGGTGATGGATGTAAGATGACCCGAACAACATGGAAGTACTTGGAGGAAGCTGGGTTYTCTGACCTCAAACTCCAACACATTAATGCGCCACTCTTCTTTGTTATCAAACCACACATTTTCGGCCACGCCGTGAAATAAGATTTAGTCTGATGGGATCTGTAACAAGCTAGAATCACAATCAGCGCGTAAATATGCCAAGTGTATATGATCACCGGTGTTAGAAGTGAGCTTCTGCTTCAGTCGTGATCTTAATTTTTGTATTGGAACAAATTGTCTGCATTTTTGGAAAAAAGATACTGTTTACCTTTTAAAAAAAGAGCACACAATACTAATTTTTATTCTTCTTTTTGTATTTCCCTATTGTGCTTGTTGACATTTGTAAACCCTAACATGAGAAATTGAACCAGTTTTTACAYGTTTAATTTACATCCTACTTTTGTTGTGGTGAATACTTATACAAACGTTTTGTTCTCCAACTCATTTCTGACATTAACCAGGGCTGGAAGTATAAAATTAGGATGCTTCAAWTTCACATCAAATAAATGGTTTTACCCTCTTATTGCATGGTCGAATTTGACTGAGAAGTTTACTCTCTCCATGGTTTTGTTCACATAATCTTAACACAAATTAGATTTTTGTTCATTTTCAAAAGATTTTGTGTTTTAATTTTGTAATACCCTTGGCCGTTCCCAATCAAAAACAACTTATTGTTAGATGAATGTGGAAGACAGAAGTGTCAGTCTACGTTCCTATCATCAACTATGGCCCTGAGCTTTGGGTAGTGACCGAAAGAACACTGATAGAAGYGGCTGAAATGATTTTCCTCCGCAGGGTGTCTGAGCTGAAATAGGATAGAAGTTCAGTCATCCGTGAGGGACTCCGAGTAGAGCCGCTGCTCCTCCACGTCGAGAGGAGCCAGTTGAGGTGGCTCGGGCATCTGGTTAGGATACCTCACTGGTGGTGTTCCAGGCCCGTCCCACTGGGAGGAGGCCCAGAGGAAGACCCAGGACACAGCTGGCCTGGGAACGCCTTGGGATTCCCCCAGAGAAGCTGGCCCAAGTGGCTGGGGAGAAGGACATCAGCTTAGGCTTACTGCCCCCATGACCTGATCCCAGATAAGTGGAAGAAAATGGATTGGTGGATAAACTGACTTCAGCTATAGTTCATTTACAAAATAGGCATATAATCTTGGTAGTCATCCCAGATATTTTAATACATTCATTTTTTTTGTGCAATAAGTTATCAGTTGTAATTTTGAGCATCTGTCCACTTTTCACTAATAAAATCCAAACCAGTGGCTTTTGACTAATACAAAAGCTCTACTTTTGTATCTATTTTAAGACTTTGAAATAACAAATGTTTCTGGTAATCTTTATTACAAAATAAATTGTAATAAATAGCATGTTTAATCTGTAAATTTGTCGTACAAATCTCTATATTAACGATTTCCCTGTAAGATTAAAGTATTTTTGAATWGAACTGAATTAACACATTTAATCTAGAACGAGTTGTACGAGTTTTAGATACAGGGCTCACGAGGGCTTTTAAAATAAGTAGAATAAATTTGAAAATTAAAACATTACGGATTGTAGAATAAGGGTTAGTTAAAAAAGAGAAAATGGAGGAAGTTTCCTGAACCTCAGCACACGTGTGCTTGCGCCCTCTTGTGGTAAAAGTAAAACATCGCAAGAAACTTCTTTTCAGGTTAATCTTTTAATCTTCTAAAGCCTTTAAGATCAAATAAACCACAAGCTTTCAACCTGAGACTCTTGCAGACAAAAAAAATGCGATTTTGTTTCATAAAACTCTGTAGATTAATTTTTTTGTCGTTGACGTTCCCTCTTCATCTCTTGGACGTGATGGGCTTGTGTTGTCCATACAAACGCTTGTTTCCCCTGCTCGTCTACAACAGCACGTTTTCATACAACCACAAAATGCACAAYATAAAGAGAGGACTTTTTAGAAACGTGGTGAGATTCGCAAACACCGACGGCTCTCTTCGGCTGCTGGAGATCGGCTGTGGAAGCGGGGCGAACCTGAGGTTTTACCCCTACGGCAGCTCGGTGACCTGCACCGACCCCAACCCACACTTCGAGCGGTACCTGCGGATGAGCATGGCCGCCAACAAGCACCTGACCTATGAGAAGTTTTTATCTGTCCCCGGAGAGGACATGAGGGGCATAGAGGACGAGTCWGTGGACGTGGTTGTGGGCACACTGGTCCTGTGTTCTGTGAACAAYGTGCAGAAAGTCCTGCAGGAGGTCCGACGAGTCCTCCGAACGGTGAGTCCATCGTGCTGCCTTCACGTACAGTTGGATATTTCCCTTTTCGGCAGAACATAACTCTTGTTTCTGTTATAAATGTTTGTTTGCAAGTTCCCAGTCACCACAAAGGTATTTTTAAGTATAAATGAAGTTTATGTCTTATTTATTCACAAGTTTAGAATTAACAGAGTATATCCGAGGTTCCCAAAATGCATAATTTTTAGGCGTCTTTGCTTCATTTTTGCATCTTTTGTTGAATTTCACGTGCATAACAGCAAATCCCTAAATGAGGCAAATCTTGTTTGCAATTATAATTAAACTGATTGCAACTRTTTGCTCAAATGAGATCACGCTATTAAATCCTTTTTCACATTTAAATCATTCAGTTGGGGTCTATATAAAATGGAACTGCAATGATTTGGTCTGATTTTCTCCTTATTGTAACTCCACAAGCCCCCCTTTCACCCCTTTTTTTAAGCAGCTCATTTTGATGCCATCTCTAAATCTAAAGGAGTCACTTTCAGACCAGTTCATTCTAATTCGACAGAGGGGATTACAACTATAGAGCAGCACAGAAACCTTTTATTTAAGATGTCAAAGATGTCACAGCAAGGCAAGACTTGTCCATCCAGCCTTGCATGTTGAAGCCAGAGTCTGGCCCAGAGAGAGAGAGAGAGGAGAGAATGAAGTCAAGGAAATTATAGTTGGTTATTCCATACCTTATTTGGCTGTTCTTTTGCAAATAATTTGACATAATTAGGAAACATCATAGAAAACAGAGAAAAGTGAATGGGTGTACCAAGAAGCCCATCGTCAGAACACAGCACCAGGCGAGACTAAATTAAACTTTTCTGCACTTCAAAACACTCAAAGTACATAATAAAATATATTTAACAGCTAAAAAATGGATTTTGCTTGTGCCCCCTTTAAGATACCCACTGCAATAAATCAAACACAAAAAATGGTGTCTTGAACCTTATCAAATTGTACAGTGTGACAGTGTTTATCCCAGTATTTTAGTTTTTTTCTTACTAAATTATAATTTTTTTACTTGTCTTTATGATGTTGCAGTGACTGCCTTTAAATCCAGTGTAYAGCTAAACCCAGGGAGCTAAGGTTTGTGTTGGTAATAAAACAGGACAATCAATCTGGTTTTGTTGACTCTCTTTCAGGGAGGAGCCTTCTACTTCTTGGAGCACGTGGTCTCTGATTCGTCTACGTGGACGTACTTCTTTCAGTACATATTTGAGCCTGTTTGGTACTACCTTGGGGATGGATGCATAGTAACCAGAACAACATGGAAAGACCTGGAGGCGGCTGGTTTTGCAGAGCTTCACCTAAGACACATAGAGGCTCCAGAGGTTTCTTTAATGATACGGCCACACATCGTGGGATATTCCATCAAATGACTGCAGGAGAAARGCTGATTTTTTTAATGCTTTGTGCTGTTTTAGTTCTACTGCCACTTTGATTTCTATTATTATATGTTTATACACTCACCGACCACTTTATTAGGTACACCTGTCCAACTGCTCGTTAACACTTAATTTCTAATCAGCCAATCAC